GGCGTGAGCCACCGCACCCGGCCCACCCCCTTCTTAAAGAGTGATTTTTACGGGAGCAAAGCCAGGTGAGTTTCCAGCCGGCTTCATGAGTCTGCTCATGGAGGGCACACAGACACGGGGAGGAAGGATAGGGGTGCCATCGCCTCTACTGCTTCCTCTGTTTCACCCCACTCCTTGTCCACAGAGGGAGAAAAAGACGGCAGGCAGTTGCTCCTCAGAAGGCCATTCCGCCCTGCCCATTACCAGGGGAGGAAGCACTACGAACTTATTTTTCAATCTCAGAAAGACTGGAGATGTTTGCCCACGCACCTGTCAAACAGTAACTTACGGGGCAATCTACTCTTAACTTTTACCCTCCTCCGAGCCAGTATCGGTGCCAAACAGAAATGTGACAGGCAAGAAACAAGCACTGGGCTTGACCCCGGCTCTGAGCTTTAACTTAACATTTCTTTTCATATGAACAGTGCTGATGACCTCCCATCCAGCATCCAGCCCAGCGGATGGCACCGATGTTGCCACCAGGTCCTCTAGTTCCCGGACACCACACATATGTGATGAGGGCTGACAGGGAGGCAGCCAACCACACGTGACCTCAGGCACACCAGTTCTCCTCTTTGGGCCTGTGTCGTCCTTTCCTCACGTATACATGCGGTGACTGACCTAGGTGATCTCTAGTTCCCAGACGTTAGGACAGGGCTATTTATCCCTGCAGCACAGACCGTCAACAAGGTGAGCACACCACAGGGCAGTGCTGAAAAGTGGGATTTAATGGGGTCTGGAAAGAATAATTCTCAAAACAGTTTGGGTACTGATTCTTCTAGACATTCTACGAAAATAGCAAGACATGGAAGGCAGACCCCCTTTGCCTCACAAAGGCAGAGAGGTGGAAAGCCTATAGCCTCCCTCTCAGGAAACACACTTCTGGAAAAATCCAATGGCTGGTACAGAGGTGGGGAGAGGAAAAGGGACTGGCCCTTTTCATACAACCAGGAACACCTCCCTGCCTCCCTTCTGCACGCGCGCACGCACACACACTCACTCACACACACACACACTCTCTCGCTCTCTCTCTCTCTCTCACATACACACTCCTTCACTCACTCCTACGGGGAACGAGCAACTCCTCCCAGAACCCTGAGGTTACCTAAGACTCTTCAAGCCCCGCACCCCACCCCGTCCCTCCCATATTAAGCAGAGGGCCTCACTCCCTCTATAGCAGACCTCAGTTTCCCCCCAATTGGAAGCACTCAGATGTGAGCACCCACAAATTCTTGGCTCCACCTCTCAGACCCTTCCCCAGCCTCTCCTCCCGTCCCATCTCCTCCCAAACTGACCGTCCCCCTTCTCCTTCCTCCACAAGGACCTTGCCCCAACCTGTTTTTTCTTTAGCCTTTGGCCTCTCCTTTCACAAAAATCTTCCCCCTCAAGCCCACAAACCCACCCTCAACTCTCCTGCTGACCCTGCTTCCTCAGCCTGTTGACACGGCCAACATGGTCTCCCGAGGAGAGGGACGGGGTGCACTTGTCTCTTTCCCGCTCCCTCAGCACACGACGTCTGGCCTCTCTGTGACAGCTGATGGCTCAAGCCAGGGGCCTCCTCAGCCCGCCCCACCACCACCCTGCTGGCCTCACACACTCCCCTCTGCCCGCTCCTCTCTCCTTATCTTCCCCTACCTACTCCACGGTGTGGGAGTTCCCAGCCAGTTCCCTATCCTCTGCCTCCCTGCTGTCTGCACTGTCTCCTGGGCTGCTTCGGCCTCTCCACTCTCCGGCCAGGCAGAACCTCTCAACCACCTAAGCCATTTCTAGAACAAACCAAATTACACACATACATGCCCCATCAAAGTCCCATGGGCAACTCTAAAGGGGCTCAGGGGACTGATAGAGGGTGATGGAACTGTTTAATATCCTGATTGTGGTAGGAGTTACATGACTACATGCATTTGTGAAAGTGCAAAACTGCACATTAAAAAGGGTAGATTTATATATGCAAATTATCTTAATAAAAAAAGATGGAAAAAAATAGTCCCGCAAGCACCTTAACTCCGTTATATCTAAAACTAACATGACCATCTTCCCCCCAACCAGCTTTTCCTCGTCTTAAAGATATTTTCAGTAATAACAACATATTCCTACTCCTCCCCGCACTGGAAATCTCAACCCTGTATCCAACCAGTTAGTCAGTCTAGAAATTCCACCTGCAAGTCTCTTGAATCTATGCCTTGAGTAAAGGGACTCAGAGCACCCTCACTTCTCATAAACTGCCTCCCTGGGCCCCCACTCCTCCCACACATGCAATTCCAGAAAGAGCAGGACCCCTGAACTCCCCAGCTCCCACCAGTTCCCCTTTCCACCGGCTCTCCCAAGGTCCTGGATATCGTTTAACAGGAATGCCGGAACAATTTCCACACGCCACTGTCAAATCAAGACAACTCTCTATCTAAATATTCCTGTCTAATTTTGCACACAGCTCTTGTTTCAACTGACAAAGATAATGACTCAGTGTCCATGGTTCTTGATGGAAAACTATCCTGCCGAGTTTTGAGCTTCCCAAAAATAGCCTTCTTTAAACTTCTCTTTGAGAAGGGAGCAGTGACCTCTCCTGATCCTTTTCTACAGGCAACAAAGGGCACCCAAAAGACCCCCTAACTGACCAAGGAGTATTCCAGGAATATCCTGATATATCCCCACAGGATCAGTTAACCACAAGAAAGGGAAATGTATAGTATAGCCTTGGGATGTTTTTCCTTGCCTTGTGCAATAATCACTGTTTTCTGGCTTTTCTGCATGCCCATCAGTTTGGGACATAAATTCTGGATTACACTGAAGGCAAAATCTAGACTCAGAACTAAAGCCTTTCTCTGCACACACAAAAAAAGACGCTTTGGTGAATAGGTTGACCAAAGCAAAAAGAAAAAGAAATAGCTCACTCTCTTTGACACTGATACATCAATCAACTATAAAAGAACTCCACAAATTATACACATGTCCATGCTGCACCACTACCCTCCTGGAGGGGCAGAGAGTCCATGCAAATGTACACACATGTATGTTTAAAATCAGCCAGATGCTTGCTCAATGCAGACGCAGGACTGGCCCCCTCCCACATCATAAGACACAGAAGATGTCTGAGCAAAAAGTGAGGATAAATAAAACATCACCCTGGAAAAGCCAACGGTGGATAACTGAATTGGCCTTTCTGCTAGCATTCAGACAGCTTAAACTTGTCTGTTCATTGTTTGTATTTAAAAATTGGCCCGCAGTCATTTCATGTGTAAACCCCCAAAGTCTTACAATGTCTCCTGGACAGAAATTACTAGTCTTCTACTCCTTCAGCACACCCGACCCGGCCAGTCACGGTCACACATCCAGTAGGCACAGTAAATGTCCACGGGCTTCTACCTCCTACCTCTTTACTGATAGGTTTCGCCTCTGCCCCGGGTGCACAGTGGGGTCTCCTTTAAAGCCCAGTCTACCCAGCTTTTACCACTGGGTTAGGACAGAGGGCACAACACTACCCTCTGCCTACCCAGAGGGGTACTTGGCAGCATGGGTGATCCTTTTTAGAATCTTACCTCAGTGGTTCTCAACCAAGGGTGATCGTGCCCTCTAGGGAACAGGTGGCAATATCTGGAGACATTTTTGATTGTCACAACAGCAGGTGGGGGGTGGAGGTGGTGCTAGTCTAGTGACTAGAAGCCTGTGATACTGCTACACATTCTACAATGCACAGGTCAGGTCCCCTACAACAAAGAATTATGGGTCCAAAATATCAACAGCCAGATGTTGAGAAACCCTGTCTTAGGTGACACATTGGCTGAGGGAGGTGCACAGACCACTCCGCTCACTTTTCCTTTCAATAGCCTGACGTCAGTCCAAAAATCCTAACAATTCTGCGCTGTCTGCATTATTTGCAAAGCTGAACAAAACACTCAGAGCCATCACCTGAGTCTTAAAGATGTTGCTCCTGTGACCCACCAGCCCCCACTTTTGTCTCTTCTCAGAAGGGCCCTCCGCAAAAGAGATAGTCTCCCAGCAACCCTCCTGCTGGGATGACCCGATCATTCATGGCATGACAACTGGCAGGCTGGCATCAATGCATCGTCAAATCCTTTGGCAAGGAGGTAGGTCTGGCATGACCAGCTCCTCAGTCCTGTCATGTAGACCCAAGAGCCAAGTTTTTCTACAGGCTGCAGGCTGGACTCAGGCTGGGAGGCTGCACACAACCTTCTCACCCTTCAGGAACCTGACATCGCTCACCCAAATGTCCCAACACCCAGACCTGCCCCTGCAGCACTCCCCATCACCCAAGGCACATGGGAGAACTGGCCTAGGTTTGGCAGAGGGGGCTGTTGCCCCTGTGCCATGAGTGGGAATAGCCAGGGAAGGGCTCAAGTGTAGGGGATTAAGCCCAAACCGCTCGCAAGATCCCCAGTGTTTGGAGAAGTAGGAGGAAGGGCCAAGGAAAAGCAAACGGAGGAAAGGACCAAGAAGGGTCCTCTTTGCCAGGTTCATCCAAAATGCAACAGCTGGTGCCAGCTAAACAAGTCAAAGTTCTTACACAAACCTGCAACCTGGAACAGTTAGAGCCCTAAGACACAGTGCAAGGAGGTCTGGGAGTGAAAAAAAACATTATCATGAGAAAGCCAGATAGGAAAGCTGTACTGGCGACCAAGAGGCTCGGGCAGCGGGCACCGGGGCTCCCGGGTGCGTTCTAGGGACCCAAGGCTCTGCACGCGGCCCTCGTCCCCTCCTCGAGGCAGGACCGGCAGGCTGCGGTGGGCACGGGGGTGGGAGACGGCTGCTTAGCCCCCACCCTGCACCTGAGGAGCGCCCACCGCGCCCCGACCCGGCTCTCGCGGCCAGTGAAACTCGCCGAAAGGAAGCCGCGCTGTCACTGGAGGAGGATGCAAGAAGGACCCCGGCGGGGGTTGAGCCCAGTTCTGGCCGCATCCAGATGGCGCCTGGGCACGCGGCGGGCAGGCGGGCAGCAGCCTTACCCCGCTGCAGGAAGCTAGGGTCCGCGGTCACCTTCGAGACGCCTCCGCGCGCTCGCCGCTGCGCAGACGCCCAGCACGCGCTCCGGATCTGTTTACCAACTCGCCCGCGCCGGGGGAGGCCCAGCGCTGGCGACCCGCCTCCGGGCTGCTCCCATTGGCTGTGCCGCCGTCGCTGGCCGAACACCGTGCGGCGTGTGGGAGCGTGCTCGGCTCGTGCTCCCGGCCGCCAGCCAATCGAGACCGAGGGCGGAGCGAGGGGAGCCAATAGGAGGCCGTCCTGGTGGACAGGGCCCCTCCCGTTCTTTCCTTACCCACCTCCCAGCTGCCTTTTCCCCTCGTTGGGCTAACGGGACTGGAGGTGGCTCTGTGGGGTTGGTTGTCCGCGCGCGCGTGCGTTGAGAACTGGCACTTTGCCGCAGCGAGCAGGTGTGCGTGACAGCGATGGCCTGTCGTCTGCCAGTCGCGGGCCTGCGGGTGCTCGCCGGGCCTCCGCGCAGGCCTGGACGGGAGGCCGTGGACGGGACAGACAAGGCTGCAGCGGCGCGGAGGGTGTCGCCGCTCTCAGGGCGGGGCGAGGCCTGCTCATGGCTCCCCTCTGCACAGCGAGGGCCCCTGTCCCAGTTTCCACAAAAAGCACGCAGAGAAGGGAAGGCGCGGCCCCTCCTACGTTATCCGCGGTCTCTTCGGGCCAGTTGTGTTTGCTCTGTGTGGAGCCATCCTCAAACAGGAAGCTCTGCTGCTCGCGCTCCCAAGCTGGGGCACCCTGGGCGGTGGCGGAGCTCGGGTAAGGGGTGCAAAGATAAGGGGCCCGAGTCGTCTGTCCTCGCCGAGTCTAGGTGGGACCGCAGGTGCGGGAAAGCCAGCACGCGGGAGGAGGAAGCGCCACCTCCAGCGAGCAGATTTGCCCCTTCACTCCGCTCCGTATCGAGAGGAATGTTTGAGTCAAGGTCTGCCGGGCGGTTTCCACTCGGGTGATTCCCGAATACTGGTCTGCAGCTCTGTCCGAGGTTGTTAGTGGTTCTTGTAGAAAAGAGAAAAGTAAGAACGATTTAGTGAGTTTTTCATAAAATGAAATATTCAAGCCAAAGGACTGTTCTTTATTCTGAGACTTTTTTTTTTTGGTATGAACATTTAACGTCATTAGAAGTTGTTTATTTTTTATTTATTTATTTATTTATTTGAGACAGAGTCTCACTCTGTTGCCCTGGCTAGAGTGAGTGCCATGGCGTTAGCCTAGCTCACAGCAACCTCAAACTTCTGGGCTCAAGCGATCCTACTGCCTCAGCCTCCCGAGTAGCTGGGACTACAGCAGGGCATGCGTCACCATTTTTAGTTGTCCAGATAATTTCTTTCTGTTTTTTTAGTAGAGACGGGGTCTCGCTCTTGCTCAGGCTGGTCTCGAACTCCTGAGCTCAAACAATCCGCTTGCCTCTGCCTCCCAGAGTGTTAGGATTACAGGCGTGAGCCACCGCGCCCGGTCAGAAGTTGTTTAATATTATTACTTGTAAGAATTTAAAGTTAGCTGTCCTATGTTGATGCCTAAAATTGAGGAAGAGGGGTAATTTACAATTATGAAATCCAGAAGTTAACCTAACTTAACAGTTCCTCACTGATCACTCAGAGCTTGGCTTCCCAGAGGTCTGACCTGACTTGGGGGAATCCAACCGTATTCCCCAAAAAACAGAATTCTAAGTGTGCGTGATGTGGATGAGCACAGTGGGAACCTCCAAGTCAGAATCCCTTCTTCCTGGGGGCAGGGGAGGGCTTTCTTCCGAGGAGAATGGAGGCTGCGCTTTGTGGCTTCTCTGGCTGGGTACGTGTGTGCTGCTGGGCGCTCCTCTCTGCACAGACATTCACGCATCCTCCCCACAGCCCAAATTCTGCCTCCCCGTCTTCTCCACACTAAATACAAAGTAAATTTTAAGGGAAAATTATGTTATTTTGACTGAAGTTTCAAGTAACTCAAGCCCCAAAACAGTACAGGGCTAACAACTTGCCTTGATTAGGTCAACTAGTCCCTTTTACTACACAGGAGAAAAAGCCCAAATCCCAAGGCCTTTCAAGGGTGGCCATTGCTCCCTTCTGCAGCAACTGATCCTTTATACTGCCTCCGTTCCTCCAAGCCCTCCCAGCCTCATGAACTCCTCCATGGCCCATGGGAAAGTAAAGTCCCTGGTTCATCCCTTCCTGTATCTTACAAACCCTCTACCCTGACTTCAGTTGGATGAGGGTGTTGATTGTCATCAGCTCTTACTTCCCCTAAAACTGCTCACCAGTGACCTTCATGTTGCCAAATCAAGTGGTAAATTAAATTCTCAGCTCTTATCTTAAACTATCAGCCACCTTTGACATAATTCCTTCTTTCTTAAGGGTTGCCCTGGGGATTATAATTAACATTCTGGTTTGGATTAATACTAACAATTTCAATAATATATAAAAGTTTTGCTCCTATGTAGCTCCATTCTTCCTCCTCTTTTGTGCTGTTATTGTCATACAAATTACATTTTTATCCATTGTATGCTAATCACCACAGATTTATAATTATTGCATATTTATACTGCCTTTTATATTTACCTATGAGGTTTCCTTTACCAGTATTCTTTATTTCATGTGAATTTGACTCACTGCCTAGTGTCCTTGCATTTCAGCCCAAAGGGCACCTTTTATTTCTTACATAGAAGAAATGCATCTCAAGATGTCTTAAATTTCTCATACACACACACACACACACACACACACACACACACACACACATA